GCGCGGCAGGACGCCGACAGCAGGTCCAGGTAGAGCTCCAGTCCCATGCTGAGATGTGTCCTGGGCCCCCTCCAGCCCAGCCAGCAGGCCCTGAGCCTATATACAGCCTGAGCCCCTGGTCCTGGGCCCCCCAGGCCTCTCCGACTGAGGCCCAGGACCCTGCATTCTGGAACTTCTTGTTTCACTTGGGTTGTCATGAGGCCACGAAGCCTGGAATTCTCAAAGCAGCAAAGGTTCTGAGGAGGGCCAGAGGTAGTTTGGGGAGAGGCCCAGGAATGGGAGAGGGAGGGCAGAGGACTGGAGGCAGCAGTCACTCTGCCCTTCCCCTCCCTCGGGGGCCTGTGTGTGCCCACGGCTGGTGTCAAAAAAGGGCTCACTCAAGGGGATTCCCAGGGCCAGGCCTTCATTGTGGAACGTGATCAGGAGGGCTTTGCAGGGTCCAGAAGGAGCATGGGTAATGAGATCTCACCCTGGAAGGGTCCAGAAGTAGAGAGTGGAAGAGAGGGAAACAGGAGCTGTCAGAACACTGGGGACAATGCCACAGGGGGGTCGAGGGCCAGCCAGTTAGGCTATGCCATGCAGAGGAGCCCAGAAACTTCTGCTTGGGTTGGGTCTGGCAGTGGCCAGGCCATGCACCTGGAACTTCACACCTGGCGGCTGAAAAATGTAGACACTGTGGGAAGACTGCGAGCTGCTCACTCTGCCATGTGACCTTGGGAGATTCCCTGTCTGTTCAGAAATGGAGAAACCCCACCTCCTGGGGCAGGTGTGAGGCTAAAGACAAGCAGAGGGTGCACCGCGTGTTTACTGCAGGTAGCAGGGTGCAGGAGCGTGGGAAGCACCTGCACCAGCTGCTGGACCAGCCGGGCCTCTTGAATGGGGGAGGGGGTTCCCGAGGCTGGAGCACAAGCCTGCAGGCCTACTGAACGAGCTCAGGGCCCAGGGCAGCCTCCACAAGGGCTACCGTGCTGCCAGCGGGGGCCAGTCTCGGAAGAGGTCACGGTGGACAGCAGTGGGTTGGGAAGACACCGCAGCTGGTGCTGAAGCCTCAGCCCAGTTCAGTGAGACCCCCAACATGTGAGCAGATGGGAGAAACTCAGCTGCATCAGCCCTGTAAGTGCCATCAGTTCCGCCAGAGAGACCCGCACAGTTGCTAGGAAGCACCTTCCCATTCCAGGTGTTGCAGAGCAGGCATCAGTCTCCCCAACAGCCGCTCCAGCTGTGCAGCATCCACAGGCTGCCTGGGAGAGTGGGGCAGGAGAGGCTGGGCTGGAAAGAGAGGGAGCAGCTTATCTTGTGCTCCTCCAAGCTCCTCGGCCTCCTCTCCCCTCCTCCCCATCCACTATCCATAAGTGAAGCCCTCTGGGACTCCATGTGCAGAAGGATTCTGAGGTTTCATTCAGGCTCAGGGAAAGAATGCAGTGACGGATTAGCAGTGTCTGCTCAGGGCAGTGGAGGGGCAGCAATATGTGGGCCAACCGGTCCTTTCCAGCTCTGCATCCGGGCTCCTGCCCAATTCTGCTCAGTAGGGTAGGTAGGCTCACCTTGCACAGGTAGACATCGGGGGCAGGCAGATGGCTGGCAGTGTGCGGGCACACCAAGTACTTGTCAACTCGACATGGGCCTGCAGCTCCGGTGGGTACCAGTGAGCCTCCGTCTGGTACTTGCGGCTCAAGTGTGAAAGCACGCCATGCTGAAGACAGGGGTGTCAGAGATCTCCCCACTCTGCCAGGACGGGGCGGCTCCATCTCTTACAAGCAGGGTGATTTGATGGGGTTTCTCTCCAACTTCACCTCTAGGAAAGGACCTCCTCCTTCCCACACCCTCTTCCAGATGGCATCTTTCCCCCTCCCCCGCAGCCACACCACTCCATTCCTCATCCCCAAGTCCCTTTTTGACCTCTCCTCCTGGCTACTACCTCAACCCACCCTCTGCCCCCAGGCCCAGCTCTCTGGCACCAGGCTCCCCACTCAGAGGGAGAGAGGCAAACCTGCCAAGAACATCCTCCCCAAGGGGTCTCCATGTTCTTCTCCTGGGCCAGTTCTCCCTTGGGCCCCAGGTCTGAGGCAGGAGCTTGGAGGGTTCCCCTGTTTCCATCCCCCTTGTGCTGCTTGCTCTCAGAGCCCAGTTTCCACCCTCACAGAAGCCTCATTTTACATAAAATGGGGCCTGTGGTCTGTGCCCTTCCCTAAAGCCTAATCCCTCCATGACGGGCTGGGTGCCCTGCCAAGCTGCCACCCCTCCTGGCCTCTCAGGAGTGGGAGCAGGTTGGGCTGTGGCCCTGTTGGGGCTTAGTCATGGGTTTTCAAGAGCAGGGTCCCCAGCCGGGCCATCCTCCTGATGCAGACACCGGCCCACAGTGTCCAAGGCATTATAGATGAGATGTGAGATAAATTCACACAGACTGCCGAGTCCTATGGAGGAAAAGGGACAGCACGGCTACCCTTTCAAGGAGAGGGTGCCTCGGAGCAGCCTGGCCACTCTCTCAAGAGGAGAGTGCCCCAATCCTTGCCTTCACAGGTTTTTATTGGCTTTCAATTTGCACAGGAATACAGGCAAAGTTCATTAATCATTGTCAGGCAGTAAGGGTCAAACAATAGATAGCATACAAAGAACTGCAAGGGCCTATTCTGAGTCAGGGTCTGTTAGCTAAAGGGCTACAGAACTTCGGGAAACAAACTCATTTCCTGCTCAGACCTTTATCATTTAATTAAGAGCATTCTTAGCAAAGCAGGTTTCACAGGTGTTTATGCATTCTTTCTCAGGCCTGATCACCCGGGGTGCACGTCCTATCCAGCACAGGACTGCACTGCCCTCTGTCATTGTTTCAGGCTTAAGTCAGGCAGAGGAGGCAAGATAGCTGGGAAATTAGGAGACTTCTCGCAGGCAGAATGAGGACTCAGGCTTTGTCAAAGCCGAGAGGCGAGGGTCCATCACCCCCTTTCTCCATAGCCCCCTAAGTCCTTCCCTGGGGCCTCCATGTGATCATGCCTGTCTTAGATTATTCCCCATTTGGGGAATCTTACCCATCATTGGCTAACTGATCAAGCACTGGGGGCCAGTTATGAAAGAAGGACAGAAACTGTGTTCCTGCCAGGGAGATAAGCTTTGTCTCCTTAGTGGCTTAGAGTTCGAAGCTCACTCACTCACCCTTAGCCATGGGGGGTGATTACAGCTCCTGAAACCAGGCAGGGCGGCTCCCAACATCCTCCTCCTTCTCAGGGCATTGAGAGCCCTCAGAGCCTCCCACCTCCTGCTCCTCCCACCAGATGGGGCCAAACACCTGCCCTCCTGGGCTGCTCTGATCTTTGCTTGGGGCAGCCAGGGCAGCTTCCACCAGCCTTTAAGGAGGGACGACACAGGCTGAGAGAAACTGGCAGGCACACAGTTCAGGTTCTCAGGTCCTCAAGGTCTTCTGTGTCTTCCCTCCCACTATGCTGGTGACACACACACAAATCACACATGACACACACACAGGGCCCACCCCACCCACCCCTAGCCCAGGCCTCTCTTCTGTCCACACCAAGTAACTATCCTGACATCTTAAAGGCACCTCCCTCTTGACTACCCTCCTCTAGAGCTCCCCACCTCAAGTGTGTCCCCTCACCGTCTGGGGATCAGGTCAGACCCTTAGGAGTCTTTCGTCTTCCCCATCCCAACCCCACGCCTGCAGCGCCAGGCGCTGTCATGCTGTCGCTCTACGTTCTACATTTCTTATCACCCCCAAGCCTCTGGGTGGCTTGGCCAACCTCACCAGCTTCCGGAGCAGCTGCCCTGCCTCTACCCTGGGCCCTTGGTCCTGGTCCACACAGCAACAGAGGGCATTTCTGAAGCCCCAGCGTGATCCCATGCTCCCTGTGCAGCAGCCTCCCGTGGCGGGAGTGCACCCTCACCCATTGTGGCTGCACTCCACAGCTCCATCCGTTTGCCTCTCAGCCTACAGGAGCCTTCTTCCCAGACTGCCCTGTGGGCCTCTCTTCTGTCAGGACCCAGGTCTGGGATGCTAGGGGCCGGGTTGTAGGCAGGGCCTCCATGGATCCAGAGGACAACCCACAGGGGCCTGTGTGGGTTGGGTGGGCCATGGAGTGGGTAGCAGCCAAAGCAGCCCTAGCACTCCTAGGCGCCCAGCCAAGGCCTCCCAGAAAACTGTCCTGGTCCATTCTGGGACCCAGGAAGATTGGAGCCATTCTCTGGCCTTCCTGTCCTCTGCAAGGGGACCATCATGCCTTCCTGCATTTTGACATCTGCCAGTGGACAGGACTTAGGCCAGTGCATGTGTGTGTCCATCTGACACACACACACACACATACTTGCAGGCCCTGTGTGGAGCTCAGGCAGGACCGACTTCACCTTCGGTTCCGGGGACAGCACAGAGCCCAGCCTGGCCAGCGATGTTCCTGAGGGGTCAGGAGAACAGGCCAAAGCATGGGCACCATAGAACCTGCCAGCACAGTAAGTTACTTGGGTTAGGTATGCTGAAGTTTCCTGGGATGTATTTCACTCCACGCATATCATACAGGTAATAAAAATGTAGGGTAAGTGGAGGCAGCCTGGCTTCCTCACCCAGGGGTCTGGGTAGCTAAGGGAAGCAGTGTTCCCATAGCCTTGGAGGGACTGATAACCAGTCCCATCCTTTGATCCTGGGTCTGATAAACCGTTCCCACATGAAGTGGGCTCGTGTGCACAGAATTTTGTTATGTAACATTCTGGCATTTTTCTGGCTTTGTTCACCTTTAGTACTTAAACATGTAGGGTCTTCTCACCAGAGAGACATGCAGATAGACACGCAAGGGGACAGGTGCCATGATGGGTGCCACGTTGGGGAGCAAGGGCCACGCCATGTGACATGCAGGGAGACAGGCAGCTTGCGGCATGCATGGCTTGCCCGCCCGTGAGTAAAAGCATGGCAGGCATCCCGACGGTTCTGTGAATATTATTCCATCTGCATGAATACCATCGACCTGCCTGGCCTTGAGTGGCCGCAACACAAAAACCAAGAATTCTTTTTCTTTTTTTTTAAGATTTTATTTATTTTTTTTAGAGAGAGGGGAAGGGAGGGAGAGAAACATCAATGTGTGGTTGCTCTTGAGCACCCCCCACAGGGACCCTGACCCTCAACCCAGGCATGTGCCCTGATGGGGAATCGAACTAGTGACTCTGGTTCACAGTCCAGCGCCCAGTCCACTGAGCCACACCAGCCAGGGCTCTCTTTTTTTCATTTTTGATTTTAGAGAGAAGGGAAGGGAGAGAGAGAAACATCGAGGTAAGAGAGAAACAGCGATTGGCTGCCTTCCATAGATGCTCCAACTGGGGTCTAAACCTGCAACCCAGGCCTGTGCCCTGACCGGGAATCAAACCAGTGACCTTTCAGCTTACAGGATGGCACTCAACCCACTGAGCCACACCAGTTAGGGCAAACCAAGAATTCTTGGTTCTGTATTAAAGTATCAGAATCTTGGTTCTGTATTAAAGTATCAGAATCTTCACTACATTTAAAAGACCAATGATGACATTTGCTGATTTTTAGTTGCTTTCTTTTTCTTCATGTTATTGAATTTTAGGAGCTCTTTATATACATATGGTAACTTCTAATTTTCTACTGATTACATCTGGTGCACCTGAGGAGAAGCACTGCCAAGGACACCCAATGTCCCACCTGTGAAGAGCTCCTCTAGGAGTCGGAGACAAGAGACTGTGACAACATGAAAAAGATGAAAAGGGACAAGTAGATGAAAAGGGACAAAAGATGAAAAGCAAGAAGAGAATGAACACTACCAATATTCTGACCCCAATCGACCTTATTCACACCCTTCAGGGGATCCTGGCTATACGAAGCAGCATTCTTGAACGCATTTCTGGGGGAGGATCCGGGAGTTTTTTGTTGGCTGCCAGCTCCCGGATGCTCCAGATGAAGCTGTGGGTCTCCCGGCACAGATCAGCACCCAGGAAAGCCTCCACTCGCTGGCGCCAGGCAGCCAGTCGTGGCCGTCCCTCAAACAGGTCACAGCCAAGAACCACAACCTGCGAGGACAAGGACGGGAAAGTTGCTAGGATGCCAGGAGCACTGGTACAGGCGTTGTTGGGAACCGCCCTGCCTGGTATCAGAAGCTGTAACCCCCACCTAGGCTAAGGCTAAGGGAACGCCTTTGGAACTGTAAGCCAGCAAGGAGACAAGCTTACCTCCCTGACAGGAGCGCCGCTTCTGCTCCTTCATACTTCACCCTGCCTGGACCCCAATGCCTGGTCGGTTAGCCAATGATGGGTAAGATTCCCCAAGGGGGGAACAATCTAAGACAGGTACGATCACATGGGAAGGCCCCAAAAGAAGGACTTTGGGGGCTACAGCAAAAGGGGGTGATGGACTCTCCCCCTTTGGCTTTGACAAAGCCCGAGTCCTCCTGCTCTGAAGAAAGTCTCTTAATCTCTTGGCTTTCTTAATTCCCTTGCTCCACCTAAGCCTGAAACAATGACAGGATGGTGCTGCCCTGTGCTGGAAAGGTCGGATTCCCCGGGTGATCAGGCCTAAGAAAGAATACGTAAATTCCTGTGAAACCATCTTTGTTTAGAATGCTTTCAGTTGAATGAGAAGGGTCCAAGGAGGAAGTTAGTTTGTTCCTTAAAGTCTTACAGCTCTTTGACCCTGACTCAAAATAGACCCTCAGAGTTCCTTGTTACCTATCGTTTGATCCTTACTTCCTCGCAATGAGTAATGTGCTTTACCTGAATTCTTTTGCAAAACGAACCCAATAAAAGCTGGTTTGGACGGTAAATCAGCACACTCCCCACTAGAGGGGTCGGCTGTTCTGTCCCTACTTCTCCACAGAAGCTGGTCTGTCTCTGTGCATGTTTTTTTCGCATTTCGACGAGCCATCCGCAGCATTCCGTGATCACTGCTGGCCAGTGACCCACACATCAAGGTGTCACGTCCGTTTCCCAATTGCCATGTGCAGCCCAGGGCAGTGTGGCCAACCTCAGGGCTAGAGAGCGCCAGGATGAAACCCCACCCAGAAGGGAAGCAGCAGGTCTGGCTCTAGCACCAGTTCTGCCAGGAACTTGCTCTGGATGCCAGGCAAACCCTAACTTTCCCTAGCCCTCAGCATTGCTGCCTAAGGGGGTGGCAATAAGAGGGATGTTGCCCACAAATGCTGCTCCCCCAGCCAAGCTCACACCTGCATCAGCTCCTCCAGTGCCATGATGTCCGCCAGCGTCACCTGCTGGCTAGTGAGGAAGGCCTTGTCCCTCAGGAACTTGTCCTCCATAAACTGCAGGGCCCTGTCCATGGCAGCCCTGTTGTGCTTCAGCTTCTCCTCAGACACCTGAATCCCAATGAGTGGAGCCAGCACCTGACAAAGGATAGACTTAGTCTGTGGCCCCTGCCTCCTCCCAGACCCTGAAAGCCAACCACTCCCCAGATGGCTCTCCTCACCTGGGCCCACAAGGACACACCAAAGGTGCTATGGATGCAGTCACCATGCCAGCCCAGGTACTCATGGATGCGCATGCGGGCCTGCAGGTCTGATGGGTACCAGTGATCCGCTGTCTGATACTTAATGCTCAGGTAAATCAGGATAGCCACGCTGGGGGGACAGAGGTAGGAGCAATAGCTGTGAAGACCCTGGCTGGTGGCCTTTATCCCCAGCTGCTCCCCTCCCCCAGTGGGGCCCTGGGCTTCTCTGCCTCTGATCCCGCCCCACCCCCTCCGCCACTCCCCAGCTCCCTGGGCACTGCCTCCTCTCTCTCCCCTGGCTGTATCCTCCTGAGTCTCCTCCTTCTCTGTCTTGGGCACAGACTCTCGACCAGACCTTCCACTTTGTACTTTAAGAACCTCATCTCTGTGATATTCCAGCAGCTGCCCTATGAGGTAGAGACTCTTGTTATCTCTTTCGTACATGAGGAAACTAAGGCTTGGAACAGTTAAGTGACTTCTCCGAGGCTGCACAACTCAGAAAAGGTTCCCTGGAGCTCTGGAAGCCCGCAGGGGGCTGGCACACAGTGGTACACCTCAGTGCCTGAGTGTACAGGCCAGGTGCCGAGAGGGGAAGCATGTCCTCAGACCTGCTGCAGGTCCCCTCTGACAGGCCCCCCAGCCATTACCACTATCGTGCCTGACCTTGTGTCCCCTTCCTGCCCGGTGCGGGCCACACCACAAACTGGGTGCTCAGGCCCAAGCAGACTCGGGGGTGTCGAGAGAGGCCCTTTCGGGTTGTATCTGTTCAGCCGCATCTCTGCAGTGCTGGACAAAGGTCCCATATCCTGTCTTCTAGTGCCCCTGCCTGTGGGGGTACAGAGGCCCTGGGGAGAAGCAGAGACTGAGGACAAGAGAGGAGCAGGGACGTGCTACGTCAGGCCCACTCCAGGCCAGCTGCCCCCATCGCAAGCACCCTTCTGCACCTGGGCCCTCGGGGCTCATGGGGTCTGGGAGGGTCCTAAGTGGACGAGCCGGGGGCCAGTGGGCTGGGGGCCTGGGAGTTGGGTGGGAAGTAGAGTACCTTTCATTCAAGAGGAAGTCACCATCCTTGAGGACAGGCACCCTCTGCAGGCTGTTAGCTGGGAGGAACTCCGAGTTTAGGTGCTGACCTGAGGAGAAAGAGGTCAGAAAAGGCCCAAAGCACAAGAGGCACACCTGATCCCTCCTCCTCCCCTCTCTTCCCTCTCCCCCTCCTCCCCCACCTCCTCTCCTCCCTCTCTAGACCAGAGCCCCCTGGGTGGGCTGGTCTGAGAAACAGCAGGGGTTGGGAGCACCAGGTCTGCTCCACTCCCTCAAGGGCCTCCCAGGCTGGGCCTCCTGACTGGGGAGGGGCTGGCCTCCTGCCTTGCTACCTCTCAGACCAGCAGAGGGGCTGGTGGGTGCAGCCAGGTGCTTTGGGTGGATGAAGAGAAGTATTCAGACAGGATTGGGATGGGCAAGGGGAGGGTTGGCTCAGCTCTTCCTACCCCTTAATTCTCACCACCACATGGTGGTCTCCCCAAAGTCTTTAGGGCTTTATGAATTTAAATACATACAACTCTGAAAATCCCAGTTTTCTCCCCACCCCGCAGAGTAGAAGGTAACATTATCCCCCCTGTCAGAGGGGAAAGCTAAGGTTCAGAGGCCTGTCCAAGGCCACATGGCCCAGGATGTCCCCCCGTGGGGACGCTCAGGGAGTTGCCAGGCGAGGAGGCCCGTGCGCACCTGGGGAGCACGCCTGGGCCCACCTTTGAGCAGGTCCACGGCGCGCAGCTGGAACGGAATGCCGTTCTTCTTGGCGAAGATGTAGACAGCGCGGGAGGGCTGGGACAGCAGGTCCAGGTAGAGCTCCAGACCCATGGTCGCCGGTCTGGCGGGTGGCAGAAGTCGAAGGCAGCAAGGACAGCAGCGGGGGCAGGAGCCGGGTATCTAAAGGAAACGAGTTCGGAGGCTCCACCCCAAAAATGTCCTTGAGAGGCCTGCCCCACCCCTTTTGATTCTGCTCCCGGCCCCGCCCATCTCTGCCCTCTTCTGGTTAAATTTACAAAGAATATTTTTCTGTAACTCGACCTGGCTCCGGGTCCCAGGTCACCAGAGGGAGCCGCCTGTACACCCGCGTGCGATTGCTGCTCATTAAGTGGCTGCTCGCCTGCCAGCGCCTCTCACCAGGTCCATTTGCGCTGCCTGGAGGGGCGCGCGAGTCGCGGGAGGCACTCGGCGGGACCGGGCGCAGGGGATCCTCAGCCAAAGCAAGCTGCCAGCCTCGGAATCGCGAGACGTCCGCACGGGACCCTCCTTTCTTTTCCGTTTCTTCTCACTCTCCGCCCCCCTCACCGCACCCTCTCCCTCCCTGACATCTTCCCAGGGGCCACAGTGACGGTGCGGGTTTGGGCACCTGGCAACACCAGTAGTCCGTCCTTCTGGCTGGTGACTCAAGTGGGCAAATCAGAATGCTTTTCTGGGATTTCTGAACTTGGAACCTAGGCAAGAGGGGGGGACCTTTGGGAAGGTAAAGGTGGGCTCCGTGAACTGGGACCACTGCTGGTCACGTTTCGGAGTTCAGTAAGCAGGCTCTGCTGAGAAAAAGGAGAAAAGGGGGGTTGGGGAAAGAAGCAGGTTCTGATCCCAGTTCCCGATGGGGGGGGGGGGCGGGCAGGCAGCTACACCTCCTGCCGGGACAAGGGGAGGAGTTTTCTACGAAATCCCTCTTTTGGCCTAAACCAGTTAGCATTGAGTTTCTCACCCTTCCAAGAAAAGGAATTCTGACCAATAGCAAAGTGCCAGAAGATCCAGTTACGCAGAGATAGAAACTTAAATAAATTTCGTTCTACAGATGTGTGGAAGGCAGAGCTTGTAAACCGTGAACTTGGATATTTAGTTGAGATTTCCAAGCAAACTGTTGAAGGTGTAACCTGGTTCCTTCTTCCTGCTTACTGGATAATGTGTGAGGACAGAGAGAATGTAAGGGAAGAACTGTCCAGCCAAAATGAGGTAGGACTGGACCACTTGGGAAGTCCTCCGCCTGCCCTGGACTTAGCCAGTCAAAACAAAGCCCATCTTAGAAAGCCAGGTGGTTTCTCCCTTGGGTTTCCTCTATGAGCCTCTTTAACTCTGGCCCAAGGCACAGCTCTGGCCAGCAAATTGAAGCTATTCTGCATGTTTTCCAGGGGTGTCATTAAAGTTGGGGTGTTCCTGGGAAGGGACTGGGCAGAGGCGGGCAGGTCTGCCCCAACACACTTTGGAAAGTGTGGTTCTTGACTTCAAGATATGAGTCCAGGTGAATTTGAGGGTGTGTTTAATAAAGCTGGGGACACCGAGACAAAGGAAAGACTTAGGACAGAAGAAGCAAGATGACAGCAGGGGGGGGCCTGAGACAAGGTGAGGCGGCTTTGGCTCGCTGAGAAGTTAGGCAAGAGGAGGGCCTTCTGAGCGAGCGAGAAAGTAAAAGTAAAACTGGAAAAGACACCGGCATTCGGGCTGCCTGTCACTACCAGACCCAATAAGCAATGACAGTGATTGAATCTCTATGGGAGCTTTATTCAGATGGCTGGCGGTCTGAGAAGACGTGGGTTCACACCCTAACAGACCTCTTCCCTTTTCTTTCCAGGTCAGACTTTTTATAACAGGGAATAAACAAGGTGCGGTGAGGGCTTTGAGATTCGGGGAGGGTCAGGTGAAAGAGGCTGCAACATTCCTGTCCTGGGCACTGAATGTTCCCAGGGGTGGGTGGTCCTCTGTCTCTCCCTGGAACATGAAGACCCTGATGCCTCCCCTTGTCCCCAGGGAGTTGTCTTCAGCAGTGCCCCAGGAGGTCGGCCGTTTTCCAGGAGCCAGGATGGGCTTTATCTGTAGTTTCTGAAACAAGAGCTTTAACACATACATTGCTTACTAGGCTTATAACCTTTTACCTTAAAGTAAAATTTTCCAACTCCTGAGTCTCCTAGCTCAAGTACTCACCTGAGGAAGAGCGGAGTGTGGGGGCGTGGACGTGCTCCAGAGACAGTGCACCCTGCGTCCTTTGTCTCGAGAGCTTTCATCTGGTTTCTGCAGGTGGCAATTTCAGGGGAGGTCTCAGTCAGAATATTCACCGGCTTTCCAGGTGTGTCCTTGAATAGGCTGATGCACCGAAGTGAGTGTATAGTGAGGTTTGGGGTCATTCTCTGGTCAGCTTCTCCTTTATCTATGATTTGTCTGGCTGTAATTGGGTTTTTTGTTACTTACTCTCCTGACGTCATCTGTTCTTGGGTTTGGCTGGTATTAATTGGGTCTCTGTTATCTATCATCATGACTAGGGTGATTAAGCTACCTGCTGTCTCTCTGGTCAGGAAGGAGAGATGTTAGCCATCTGCTCCTAAGTGTCTTTAGTTAGGGAGGGTAGGGTCTTGTGATTTATTAATTGGCTGCTAATTACTCGGCCATTTGTTTAACTGTTTTGTCTCTGTTTCTCTCATTCCAGTTGTAAGGAATTTTCCTAGTTTAGTAACCTGCCTCCAGGGCACACACAGAAGTACTATCCCAGAGGGCACAGGTGATCCCATGGGAAACTGACAGCTGACAGTGTGAGGGAACCCCAAACCCCATACGGGGGCCTGCCTGACTGCCTCAGTCAGGCGGTATGGTTGGCAGGCTCCCCACAGGGCCTCCCCCCTCGGGGCTCCCAGTCCTGTCTGCACAGTTCAGTTCTCAGTCCCGCAGGTTTCAAAGGCGCTGCCTGAGGCAGTCAGCTCCTGACAATTTTGCTCATATGTGATCCCAGTTCATCCACTCGGGGGTGTGGGCGACAGCTGGAGGTGCCCCATGTGGGAAGTGCAGGAGCTGGGACCCCACCGATACCTCGATCCCTCGATCCCTCGTGTCATTGCTCATCGGGTGTGATCCTCGGCTCAGTCTTGGGCCGCTGTCCTTCAGAAGAGGGGAAAACTTCTGGGAACAAAGATCATGAATGTCCCCCCCACCCGCCCCATCTCCACACTTCCCACCCTCACTTCCTCAGGTGCCTGGAGGGGGTTTTTCCCCTCATTAGAAAATGGAGGTGGCCCATGTAGTCATCAAAATGTGACATCCTAGGCTCATCCAGATCTTTGTCCGGAAGGGCTGTATACAAGAGGGACAAACGCATTTTCACAGGAAAACATTTTGTACCAGTTAAACAAAGAGACACATCACATTCAATCAATAATCAGGATGAAATCCTGAATTTTCAACAATTTTCGAATGGGTTTGCATAACCTCCCATCCCCTTTGTCCCACTTATTTAATCAGTCAGGAGCCTAGAACAGCTCGATCTTTCTCTGAGAACAGTTGCGTTTCACAAACTGCCTTCATGAGGCATGTGTTCCAAGGAGCGGTGAGTGACCCAGAGCCAGACTGTGTGTCCACTGCTGCAAAATGCAACTCATCTGGAAGCTACAAGCCAAGGGCAGTGAAGCATCCTTGTGGTGGAGTCGTGAGTCCCACCTGGGCAGAAGGGTCACAGCCCCCACATGTCCTCACCCCACACCCAGCTTTTTGGGGATTCCGTGCTAGGAACTCAGTCAGTGTCTGATCTGAAATACACAGCCTATCAGAAAGTGGTCCCAGCAGAGCATAAGCTCTTCAGCATGGGCACTTGCATGTGATCTAGTCAGTCTACTCATTAGTCGTGAGGTCTTCACAGTTTAGGGCCCCACAGAGGGGCCCTGCACCTGCAACATTCTGGAGTCTGTGATCTGTCCTTGCTCGCAGGCATCCCACCTGCCCACTGTCGGTGGGCGTACCTTGTGCGGAGGCTCAGCCCGCCCATAGTCAACAGTATCAGATCTCAGCCAAGTTGGCCAGCTGAGATCGGATCTGTAGAATAAGGATTCCAAAAAAGCCAGCAGTTTTCTTTAAGAGACTGCAGCGCCAGACAACTGAGTTCCAAGTCCAAGTGGCCAGCAAGGTTTCCTTGAGTCCTTTCACTTTGTCCAACTTAGAGTCCAAACTGACCCCGTCAAAAATAGACCCACTAGGCCCAAAAATGACCGACCTCAAAAGATAAGACTTCCAAATCACAAGGGCTCTTGGGCAAACCAGCACCCAAACGTGTGTCTCCATTTAGAGGTGGCCTCTCTTTTCCATGTCATCTCCTTTTTCACGGTGACTCTGGTAGGCAAAAACCATCAGCCCTGGAGACTTGTTCTGTTTTCAGTACTCAAATAATTTAACTTGAATTAACCCAAAAGCAAGGCCATTGTGCGCCACTAGTGCTTTTTCTTTGCAGCTTTCCCTTGTAGCATTTGTGAGATTAAAATATAAAAAATTGTATATCAATTTTGCCAGAGATTTACATGTAAGAGCCAAAATATGTGTAAACATACAAAGCCATTGTAAAAAAAAAATCTACCCTTTTGTTCTCATTGCTGATTGCTCAGACCTGGGCATTAGATCCAGCACTGACGGAGCTGGCGTCATGGCTCTAGGGAAATACCGGGCTGGTATCTGGGGGCTAGGGGACTGGAGCTTGGCTGCAGAAGGTTGGAGTGTTTTGCTCCCTTTTGCACCCCTGACTGTTCTAAAATTTCACATCAGCCCTGTGATTCCCTTTTTATTTTTCTATCTGACTTCAAGGAATGAGCGATGCAGACTTATAAACGTGTTTGGCCCATCCAAAGCTTACCTTTGAGAGTTTTGGGGGTGCTTTCTCCTCCCACCTGGAGAAGAAAATAAAAGCAAACGTATCAGCTGGGCTGCACTTTCCCCCGCTTTGCTCTACCAAGCACAGCCCACCCAGCACAGCCCAACGCAGTGGGGCGCCAGCCCACTCTGCTGGGGGCTGGGTCTCTCACTTTCTGATTGCACAGGTAACACTGAGCTCTCGCAGCAGACAGCTCAGTGGCTGCTCCACACCAGGGAGGGTCCCTTAGCCACCAGGCACCAAAAGCATTGCACACCCTGCTCCCTCAGCCTTCCTTTGCTCAAATAATATTTCAGCTTAACAATACCCACAACCTTTGGACCAATTGCTCAAACAATATTTCAAAGAGTCCAAATTGTTCTTGCAAATCCCACTTCATCTCCCACTTCTGGGGAACTGTGAGTAAAAACTTCTTCCTTCATCATGGTCATTTGCATGTCTGCATGTCTTACCATACTGATTAAAATAAATCCTGGGTACATTTTAAAACAATATGTGTGCGTATATATGTGGATGTGTGAGAGTATATATGTGTGTATATATGCATGTGAACATGAGTAAGTGTGTGAACTGGTAGGTAAGAGTGGACACATGTATACATATTGGGGAGTATCTGTGTATATATGTGACACTGTGTGCTTGAGTGTGTAAGAAGAGCATAGGTGTGCATTTGTCATGTGTGCAGGTAGGTGACTGGCTCTTTTTCCTCGAACTTGCCTGACCCCAACAGAGACTGTTGCTATTTTTCAAATGTTCCAATTACAGTTGATATACAGTATTGTGTGTGCTTCAGGTATACAACACAGTGGTCGGACATTTATATGACTTACGAAGTGATCACCCCCGTGAGGACCCGGCTGCCCCCGTACACAGTTATTACCATGTTATGACCCTATTCCCTGGGCTGTGCTCGCACCCCGTGACTGTGCTTGTAACCAGCAACGTGCGCTTCTTCACCTCTCCGCCTTTTTCACATACCCCCTGCCCTCGCTCCCTTCTGGCAACTGCCCATTTGTTCTCTGTACTGTAAGTTTGTTTCTGTTTTGTTCGTTCGTTTTGTTGTTTTTTTTTTTTTTAGATACCAAGCGTAAGTGAAACCATACGGCATTTGTCTTTCTCAGCCTGACTTAGTTCACTTAGCGTAATAGCTCCTCCATCCAGGCATGTTGTCAGAGATAGCAAGGTTTCACCTTTTCTATGGCCGAGTTGTGCTCCATTGCATATATGTATGTGAGATAGGGTCGTTCTTCAGTGTGGAGGCAAATTCCCAAAATATTTCCTGACATCTTCCCGGATGCTCCACTGCCCTCTGAGCTGGGGACAGTCTCCATGAAGAAGGAAGTTTCCGCTCAAGAATCCGTGTCTGTTGCTGCTGGAATCACCGATCACACCCGCAGGCCCCGCCCCGCCCCGCCCCGCCCCGCCCCTTAGCCCCACCGCCAGCGCGGAGCATGCTGGGGCCTGGACAGCCTCATCTACCTCGCCAGGCCTGTCCTCAGCCTGTGCCCTGGGTGTGGAGCTGGAGGGAAGGAGGTGGGAGTTAGTGGGCAGGTTGTCCTGGCAACGAGCACATCCCGCAGCGGGTGTCTGGGCACGCGGTGGTCCGTTAGGCTCGCGCTGGTGACCACAGCGGCCACTGTGCCGAGGACCTCTGAGGGGAAGGTCCCATTGCCAGAAGGCCTCCGAAGCCGAAGGGAAGGGGGGGACAAACCTCCCGGGAGTGGGGAGCATAGACAGTGCTGGGGCCGCTGAGGCGGAAAGGGAAGGGTCTCGGTGGGGGTGGGGGGAGCCTCAGACTGTTTCCGATCCTGGGCAGAAGGCAAGGGTCGGAGACTCCGGCTGTGCCCACCAGGCCAGGGAAAGAAGCACCTCCGAGTCCTCCGCCGAGTCCAGAGTCTCTGGCCCTGTCCAGTGGAAGGAACTGTGCAGAGCCCCAGAGGGAGAGCAGGGGAAGGGGGCCCAGGAAAAGGATGAAGAAAAGAGGGATGAACTCAGAGAAAAAGTGAAGGAAGTGGAGATGGAAGAGAGAGCCAGGAGGCCTCCCACAAAGCTGAGTCTATGGCATCGTGCCTCAGCCTTACAAACCAGATCGTTGAGCAAATCATGACCCATTTTAGGGAAGTCAATAAGTTTTATGTACAATATAGAGTAGGGGGCATAAAGAGGGAAAAGGAACAAAAGCTCTTTTGACCTGAATCAAGCGCCCTGAGAGGCTGCTTTCGCTGGTACTTGGAAGTCTCACCAGCGCTCTGCTCCTCCTGGTGCCTCAGGCTCTGTCTTAACCACTCTGAGACTTACCTGGAGGGGAAGGAGGGGAAGGGGGTCCCAAGGACAGTGGCAGTGCAAGGAAGGAGTGTCAGTGGGAAATGAGGGAGAGAACACCGCAGAGGGGGCCAGGCTGGCAGAGAACTAGAGCCTGCTTTTAAGAGAAGTGTGCGTCATAGGCACACCAGTTCCATTTCAGGGCTGCTGGGGGTGAGGGACCAAGTGTGAGACTAGGGGGTGTGGGGAAGACCCCTCTCAGTATTCCTTGTCCATTGGGAGACTTCCTGTGGGACCCACTCCATGGGCTTGCCCCCCCATCTTGTTCATGCATTATTCATCCTCTGCTGCAGGGCAACTTGGGGTCTCAGCCCACATCCCTGGGGAGGAGCTTGGCGGTCTTCCCCTCTGATGTAAGGCAAACGGTCCCTGGGCCTTTTAGGGGCCGTTAATGCTGGTGGGGAGGTTCTTGAGCTCCCCAAGTTTTCTGAGGCTGTTTTGTCCTCTGTAATCACTGCTCTGCCCCCTTCTGAGTGTGTTATAGACAATTAATGAGGCACGAAATGGTTCAGAAGGGTATGGGGCCCTCAAATGCAGGGACATGTTACCAGAAAGCCCAATCCACATGGCTTGGGGAGTCGCTCAGGGAAAGATGGAGCTGGACCCAACCCGTTCAGGCCACAGCCTACTACTGCCATATTCTCCCTGCCGCCCCATTTGCCAGGAGAGCCGGGTCAGCTTAGTCAGCCCCCCACTGCGTTTGCCCTCATTCTCCTTGACCCTGCTCTGAGTCGAGAGACCTTCATCTGAAACCTGGATCTGTCACTTACCAGCTGAGTGACCGCAAGTCATTTCAGCTTTCCTGCTTAAGCAGAATGAAGATGGTCTGTGAATGAAACTGTATAAAAACCAAGGCATTTTTTTCAATTCCCAGCCAGGGTACATGCCTGGGTTGCAGGCCATAACCCCCAGCAATCGCATATTGATGTTTCTTTCTCTCTATCTCCCTCCCTTCCCTCTCTAAAAAAAAATTAATTAATTAATTAAAAAAACAAACAAACCCCAAGGCATTTCTAGCTCCAGAGGGAGGCAGCTGCTGTGGGAGAAGAGCCCCGGCTGGGACTCTGATAGTTATTTGGCCCTCAACTGGAACGGCCTTGGGACAAAGCATTGTGGGTATCTTGACCTCGTCCATTGCCTTGAATTCATCTCTTATTTTTCGCTATCACCCTCAAGTGTACACGGTCAACCCCTTCAGCCTTAGGATTGGGCTTGGCCTCAGTTTCCTCATGGGTATGTTGGAGATGATGATTCCTGCAGGGATCAGTAAGCTTGGGATAAGGACGCTATTAGGTTCGATTACAGTTGAAATTCATGAAGGGGGATGTTCGGGTCTAGAGAGCAGCAGATGGCATGGCCCGAGAGCGGAGCCGTGGAGGACATGGGGCCCCGTCAATGCACGATAAGAGTCTGACACAAGAACCAGGGTCACCGAGTCTCTCGTGAAGAGTCGGTTGGAAAAGGGGGCCGAACAGGAGACCCGGCCACTGCCAACACACTTGAAAGGAGCAATCCTTTTTTAAAAAAAATCAATTGTTTTGAGAAAATAAATGATGAGTTTTACCAAAAAAAAAAACCCCACAAAACAATCACAGACTCAAGAACAATATCTTGACTTTGTCTTTTTAGAACACGTTTTACTTAACAGCTGGATGTAACTTTGCCTTTAAAAATGGCCTCCCCCACCCTACTTTTGGACTGAAGACTCTTCGATTGTTACCTTTTTATGTGACCATGATGTTGTAACATTTTCTACAGAAATAATAGACATTCTGTCAGCTCTCCTTTGTCAGTAAGCCAGTTAGGCACCACAATAGCTGTAATTAGGTAGATGCAGGAGTGATTTCAAAGTGCACAATATATCCTGCTCGACCCACACATTCCCAGCTCCCCAGGTTTGCCTTCCCCCTTCAGCCACAGCCAAAATGCCCACGGCTACTCCCACAGGAGATGTGTAACAGACAGAACTCTCGATGGAAAGAGAGTGTGGGCCTCAAACAACTTGTGAAAATACCTTCTGCACATTTTTCAAGAGCACCTGACAACTGAAAGCTTTGCTTGGTCCCCCCAGAACAAACAGAGAGGCCCAGCTGCTCAGGCTCCGTTGACCTTGGCTGTAAAGACACTTCTAAATGACTGCAGCTGTGCGGGGCTCCAGGTCAGCCCCTGGAGAGTTCAAGGAAGGATAACTAAGCCTTTGAACAATACGGGGACTGGTTGACTCTTAATTTTGGCTAATTCTGTGGTGACACCCAAGCTCCCCAGCCCACCTGCCTCCCTTCAGCCCCTCAAACCTGCAGAGCAGGGAGGTCCCTGAGATTTGCGCTCACCCGAAGGACCCCTGCTCTGGACAGCAAGAAGGTCCGTGGCCCTGAGCAGATCTCTCCCTATTGAGCCCACTCTGCCCTCTCTTGCACACACACAGCTGATCAAACAGACCTTTGAACAACAGGTGCGCCTCCTGGAAGGGCAAGGGGTGGGAGCCAGAAATGCTGGTGCAGGTCCCAGACAGGTGTTTTGGAACCCCGTGCCAGCTCCCCTTTCCCTGCCTGTCCTGTACTAGGACTGCTGAAGACTCGTCCATAGGTATCAAAGATCCACGTCATCGGGGGAGAGAAAACGGGAGAGAAAGAGTGCAGAAGGACTGGAAGAGAGGGGCCACAGGTGGGAAGAGAGGCCAGTGGGGCGAGGGTGGCTGTCTTCCTGCTTCTGTACCTGAGGCTGGTACTGCGTTTAACTTGCTGCGCAACTTTCAGCGAAGCTCCCTCCTTTACCTCTCCTGGGCCTTGGCTTCCCCTTTCGAGTAGGGCTGCTACTGCCTGTCCGGGTGGCCAGTGCCGTGGGCTGTGAAAGAATTCACAAAGAAAAGAAAATGCAGAGAGTAAAGTTCATGCTCACTTTCCGGGAGAGGAAAGGTGCTTGGTGCGAAGACCGTGAGCTTTGAACTGGGCTCTGAAGGGCGAGGGGCTGCCGCTGGCGGCTGGAACAAGGATGCCTCAGTCGGTTTCGTGGGGGCTTCAGTTCACCCCGATGTCATCTTAAGGAGCAGGGCCCAGTCACTGCGACCTTGCACCACCTGTTTGGCGATTTTTCAGGACATCGGTGTCTTTAGGGTACTTGCAGCAATTTCCCAGTCCTGATAATAGAGGCTCAGAAAAATAACAGTTAATTATGGCTGACAAGGTCAAGAAAAGGCTGGCTAGCTCCGTCCGGTAAAGAGAGCCTGAAAGAGACTTTCTGTCCTTTTAATTCCTACCTCACAGGGTAGTTGTGAAGGTAGCACAAGGTAATGTCCAGAGAAATGGCTTGGGACACTAGGGAAGGTCACTCACAAAGGACCCCCTAGTAATCCCTTTGACCAAAGGGTGAAAGCAGAGTCAGAGGTCCTGGCCCCAGGCCTAGCCCGGCCTGTCTGGGGAAACCGCCCTGGCCTTTACTCAAAGCTGACCCTGCCTCAGGCGGAGCAGCCCTGCTCAGAACACCCCCGTCCCTGGGGTGGGCAGACCCATCACAGGCAGAGTTGCAGCTGAGTGGAGGGGTGCCCGAGAGGTGCCCTTTGGAAAAGCCTGGAAAGCTGAGGAGTTGCTGTTCTGGCCCTGCAGGCCCCAGCTGCCCAGAGCAGCTCAATCTGCCCGTCCAGGGGACTGCAGGGAAGGGGACCAGAGATGGCCCAGGACCAGAGTAAGAAAGTGTGTCAATGGTGGGAGGCCAGTCAGCAGAGGAGGAGACAGGGTGGCCCTGGGCTGGGGCCAGGTGGCCAGGAGCAAGGGGTCCACCTGAGCAGGGGCTGCCAAGCCAAGGGTTCACTCAGTCTCTGGGCCCAGGGTCAGAGCACCACCGACACCAGAGGCCCCGCGGCGGGGCGGAGAGCCAGCTCTGGAGGCTGCAGCGTTCCGGCCTTCTCGCTTCCCTGGTTGATTTTCCTCCCGATGATACCTGGTGCTTGCTCTCCCTGCCCCTCTCCTGCTCCCATTGCCTCCACTCTCCCAATGTATATTCTGTCTCTTCAAGGTGTGTAGAGTGAGCCCTTTGAAAAACAAAAAGTTTACCTGAGATGACAGCCTGGGGCTCACTTCCTGAAGAGAAAGCATGGGTGTCAGGTTCTGGGGACAAGCTGGCTGCGGGCAGGAGGGTGAAGCTGAAGCTGACGGCAGCATCCAGGAGGAAGAAGAGGAGGAGGAAGAGGAGCAGGAAGCCAGAAGGGGAAGGGTGGGGACACAGGGCGCTAAGTGGCAGAGTGGCTCCGCAGCAGCCCATCAGGGGCCTGAGGGGATGGATGGAGAGAGACCTTCACAGGCCGGGCAGCCGGCTCTGCCTCACCCCCAATAGGACAGAGGGCACCCAGTGGCAAGGTCGACCAGGCCCCAAGAGAGGACTCAAAGGCGCTGAACTGAGCCTGACCCCTTTCTCTTCCCAAACTCAAGGGTCGGAGATATTGCTGCTGCTTGCTGAGCGGAGTGGCTGGGTAGGGACAGAAAGGGTCCCACAGAGGGGAGACCATCACCCATTCCAGCCACTCCCCCTTTGGGACCCCAAGGGGACTTCAGATTCCCCTACCTGGGCCCTAGGATGGGTCACAGCCTGGTGTTACTGAACGCCAAGGGCACATTGCACCCTAAACTAAAATTCCCGCCCTGTTCTCTTTCATCCTAAACCAGGCCTAACTTCAAATTTGGCTCAGGCGTTCTGCCAAGAGACAAGATGACGGTGACACTCCAGTAAAAAGTCAACACAGAAATGGTCTCTCTATGAATTTCCCAGGGTGAAATTCGAATAGAAAAAATTAAATTCCTTTGCCCTTCTAAGTTAAAGTTCAAAAAAATAAAAACTGAAAATCCTAAGATCAAAAAAGTAAAGTCTGAAGCAGCCCCAGGGAGCCCAGCCGTCCATCAAAGCCCAGCGGCCTTCACCGCCTCTCCCAGGCCCGCCACCCACCCAGCGGTCAGGGAGGGCTGGGTCGCTGCTAGAAGGGGTCCTCCTGCACAGTCGGCATTTTAACCTGACGGAGTTGCTAGAAGTGACTCCGACCCTGTCCTAGTGACAGCCTCATAGGCTGGTCCACCACAGGGAAACCCCCAAGGCGCCTGCCGGCTGCTGGCTGCACCCAGAATCCAGCGCTCAGCCCCATGGGTACCATTCTCCCTGCTGCATCCAGACCCCTGCAGAAACTACCAGGCACCTGAAGGAAGGAGGGTGGACAGAGAAGAGAATGACAGCCCAGACTCCAAACACGCCCTGGGAGGTTGACCCAATGGAGGTTCCGCTTGAGGCCTGCTCCATCACGTTCGGCGGGGCAGGGAGCAGCTTCGGCAATCCTGCTCCTCTCTCTCTGAGCACACCGGTGCCACTCCCGCCTTACCAATGGGCATCGCCAGCCTGGAGGCAGCTCAGTCGTTGGGTGTCATTTATGATACCTGCCAGTACATTAGAAGCCTCGTCATTTCCCATCGTGTGTCCAGTGCATGCTCCCTGCGTTGGGGGTGGGGCACCAAGGAGCAGCAGTTGCAGCCCGCTGGGCCTGGGGCACTGACTGGCCTCCACTGGGTTTGCGCCCGGCCTCGAATGGCATTTATTTCTGGAACACATGTCCTGGTGGGGAGGGCTGTGAACTCCTGACTGATTCTTTTCTTCACCACACATAGGGCCAGCCATTTTTATTCGATTCCAGCGCCTTTTCTCCTTTTATTTTCTCTTTGCTTCCTGGCCCAAACATTTCCTTTTTTTTTACTCATCCCTGGAGATTTTGCCTCTTGGGGTCTCGCATGGCAAGAGAGAGAAAAGGCTGTCAATTCCAGGCTCTTCACAAACATCCACCATTGAAACGGTGGCATGGCTCTGCCCCGAAGAGACCAGCCAGGGGCCACTGTACTTCCGGCCCGATCCCCTCTGGCGGCTGGTCCTGCTCGCCTCCGCCCAGGCTCAGCAGACCCTTCTTGAGACCTAATCCATATGTCTAAAAACATACAGCCTCAGGGCCCAGGCAATCCCCGGACCCTCACCCACAGTAACTGTGCTGTCCGCTCCCAAACCATCTCCGTATTTGACACCGACCCTCATTCTTAAATTCTGTCCTACAGCCTCTGAGAGCTGCCAGGCTCATGGGATGGCTTCTGGTTCTCACTGAGTCCCTGGCTGCAGCATCAAAGGGCCAATCCCTCCAGGGTGTTCTGGGTCGCCCGGCTCCCCGGGGCGGGGGGGGGGGCGGGGGAGGAGGGTCCTGCCTCTCCCTCAAAGCTTGCCCTTTCTTCCCAGCAGAAGCTCGCCTGTCCCCTGAGTTGGTCCGTGCAGCCTGGTCCCTCCAAGCCTCATCAACACCATCTCTACCCAGCCTGTCTCACACCCCTCACGTGGGACATGCCTCTTCCATAGCTGGCCTCTCTCATTTTCCACAGGTCCTGCTCTAAGAGTGAGGCTGTGGTGTGTTTCTCAGACCATTCCAGTTCCTTCTGGATCTCCCAAGTGACCCTGACTCCCTGGGACAGATGGCTCCCAGCCCAAGCTTTTGCACAGCCTTGCTGGCTTTGAGGTGTGCGGTGATTTCATCAAGTTGTTTTTCTATCTCATCCCAAGAAAATGGCACATTGTCTTAATGGCCCTGATTCCTTTGAATGTGGCCCATAACAAACTACCAGTCTTTCATGGAAGAGGCTTCAGTCTCCCAACTCAGGGGACTAACTCAGGAGAGCCCAGGAGGTACTTCCAGGGACAAGAGGGATCCTTCACAGCCCCTACTCCGGCAGGAACTCACAGGTCACCACCTCCTGGTGGTGGCCCAAGATTCCCACCCACGTGCACTCCAGCCCCTCCCTGCCTTTGCAGTTGAAAGTTCCTACATGTGCTCAGGCTGAGAACCTCCACCCCCACCCTCCCTCAGAAGACTCTAGCCATCTGGAGCCCAATCCACTCCATTGTCTCTGTCACAGGTCAAGGCTCGCACCAAACCCAGCAGCCAGGGCTTGCTAAGGCCTCGCCTGATGAAGAGCACAGCAGTGAGCTTGTAACCACCCTCAAAGCACTGCCCGAGCTGCTGAGGTCAAACCCCCACGCAGACCCTACTTCATGCAGCAGGACGAAGCCTGTCACCAGGGCCACTAGTTAAAAGCCAACCACACAGCCATATGTATCAGCTCACAGCACCAAAGCATCATGGGGCACCCCCAAAGTTCCCAGGAACTCTGTGTGTGCACACCAGCCTCTCCCAAGCCTTCACAGGGGTTATGGGTATGGACTCCACACTCAAAGCCAGTGTGCAAGATATGGGTTTGAAGGGGCCTAAACAGAACACTGCTTTTTTCCAGGCCCAGGCTCAGGGCCTCCTCCATAGAGTTGGCACAAGTCATGGCACCTGCCAGGGGACAGGCGGGAGCACGGGGCAGAGCAGGCCTGGCAGGGGCTGGGGGCAGGTGGGGCAGCTCGGGGTGGGGGTGGGGGATTGGAAAGCCCCTCCAGGGATGGAAGCACCTCATGAGAAACAGGAGACAAGGGGAAAGGGCCCCCTAACCCCTGCAGGAGCACCAGTGGCTGGAAACTCAGGGAAGCTGGGTGTGGGCTGGGGTGAGGGTAGCCCTGGGCATTGGCTGGAGTGGGGCGATTCCTTAGAGGGACAGGGGAGTCAGGCAGCACCTCTGTACAGTATGCTAGTGGGGGTCTTCCCTGTGTCCTGCGTGTGCATGTAATCGTTCGTGTTGTGAACTGACACACAGAAGAACGCGTACAGTTTAACAAATATAACACAGACACTTGTAAGAACAGAGAGGAAAAGAATCCCACAGCAGCACCCCCTCAATTCCTGTGAGTCCACCCCAGTCACTGGCCTCCCTCCCTGCAGTGGGACCACTGTCCTGACTGCAGGGAAAATCATCTCCTGGCTTCTGTCACAGTTTCATCATCTAGACCCGGCCCTCTGAACAACGTTGTTTGGGGTTCCCTCTGTTTTGACTTTAAATAAATGAAATTGTATTATCAGTATGTTGCATCCTTTTTTTATTTTGGTTGTTATTTCCAGATTTTTCAATTGTGGGGTAAACTGCAGGCCCGTGTGGTGGTCTTAGGCAGGGAATGATGCTCGGCCCCGGGTGGGCTGTGATTCACGGGCAGCGCGGGACGTGGCACTCGGGGGCATCAGTCGCCAGCGCTGTGTCCTCGTCTGCTGGAAGAGAAGCTGCTGCAGGGTCTCACGTCCCTGTGCTTGGGTTGTCGTGCCTTTACAGGGTTCACCGGCCCTTCCACGTGCTGTCAAAATTGCTCTCAGCATCAGATCCTGGAGCAGAGGACACAGCGACAACCCAAGGAGGATGGGTTCTGTCTGAAGCAAGACTTGGACACAAGGGGGAGCTCCTTGCATTTGTCTTGAGTGCACAAAGGAGACACCTGTCTGTCACTCGTCCCCCTTTGCTTCCAACAGCTGGAACTGGGCATCCAGAAGCCTGCCCCGGTTAGTCACTGTAGTTTGTGGGGAGTCTGTCTTTCCCGCCAGCGG